TTTATTCTCGTAGTATTACGACTTTATTCTCGTAATGATTTTTTTTCATAATATTAGGACTATTCTCATAATATTATGACTTTAATTATGACTTTTCTCTCATATTATGACTTTTTGTAATATTATGACTTTATTCTTGTAATTAAAAATGCTGCTGTGATCACCTTTATTGTTTTCTACAACTTTGGCTCTTTTCCTACCCGTTTATTAGACATGTTTTTGTCTAACATTATGGTTTCCTCCCCTGCAGCCTGCGAGCTGATGAACCAGGGCATCTTGGCGTTGGTGACCTCCACCGGCTGCGCCTCAGCCAGCGCTCTGCAGTCGCTGACGGACGCCATGCACATCCCGCACCTGTACATCCAGAGGAACAGCGACGGCTCGCCCAGGACGGCCTGCCAGTTCAACCCGAGCCTGCAGCGCTACACGCTGGCCGCTCGGCCGCCCGTCCGCCTCAACGACGTCATGCTGACGCTGGTGGAGGAGCTGCGCTGGCAGAAGTTCATCGTTTTCTACGACATCGAGTACGGTACGTGATCACCGCCGTTTTTACTCTCTCTGCTGGATGGTTGGATTTCTGAGCAAGGAAGGTATATTTTTTGTAAAAATTAGGCTTTTAATCTCTACACATGAAGTCCTTCAATCTGAATATACAGTATTTCCACCACAAGCGTGTTGTTTAGCTTTAATTTATTTAGGATTTATCTGATGCAAATTCACAGGGAAGATTTTGTAAACAAATATTGAAAAGTCATTAGTAGAAACCCAGAGGTCCTGAATGATTTCCATTGTTCTCAGACTTCGTGCTGCAGAACGTCAGAGGACTCCTGTGTGCTGGATTTGTCTGGAATAGCTCACTTTGATTGTATCTTAATGAAATCACATTAGCCTCCATGGGTTTTTGAGGGTAATCAATATGTGATGGTGGCAATTACAGTATTGGGATATAGACAGATGCAGGCATTTAGCTTTTCAGATACTCTTATCCTGGGTGATTTAAAGTGAGTGCACGGGCACCTGAAGGTCTTAACTCCTCAGTAACAAACGAGGAGACAAAAGGACGGCGGTGTGGCTGCAGAGCACGATGTGAATTTATTTTACATGGTTGAAAAACTTGAAACCAGAATAAATAGAGCTTTAACAGATCCTGCAGTTTATTGTCATTTATTCCCTTTTTATAGGAGTGCAAGAAAATATCGATACACTGAMTTATAGCGATGTTACCATATCAATTCTTAACAGGACTGTATTGATTTTAAATAAGGCCTGTTGGATGGATGGAAGAAGAAACATGAAATGCAAATGCAGTTCTTACTGCT